AAATGAATAAGTTTCTGGACACCTGTGTCCTCCCAAGCCTAAAACAGGAGGAAGCTGAAACTATTAATAGACCAATAACCAGGTCTGAAGTCGAGGCAGCAAGTAAGAGCCTACCACACAAAAAAAGCCAGGTCCAGATGGGTTCACAGACGAATTCTACCATACACGCAAAGAGGACTGGTACCATTCCTTCTGAAACTATTCCAAATAATCCAAAAAGAGGGAATCCTTCCCAAATCATTTTATGAGACAAACATCATCCTGATACCAAAACCCGGCAGAGAGTCAACAAGAAAAGAAAACTTCAGGCCAATATCCATGATGAACATAGATGCAAAAATCTCCAATTAAATACTGGCAAACTGATTGCAAGAGCACATCAAAAAACTTATCCATCATGATCAAGTAGGATTCATCCTAGGGATGCAAGGCTGGTTCAACATACACAAGTCTATTAACGTAATTCACCACATAAACAGAACCAAAAACAAAAACCACATGATTATCTCAATTGACGCAGAGAAGGCATTTGACAAAATTCAACAGCCCTTTATGCTAAAAACCCTCAATAAACTCAGTATTGATGGAATGTATAGCAAAGTAATAAAAGCTATTTACGACAAACCAACAGCCAATATCATACTGAATGGGCGAAAACTAAAAGCAATCCCTTTGAAATCCGGCACTAGACAAGGATGCCCTTTCCCACCACTCCTATTCAATATAGTACTGGAAGTTCTAGCTAGAGCAATCAGGCAAGAAAAAGAAATAAAGGGTATTCAAATAGGAAAGGTGGAAGCCAAATTGTCACTATTTGCAGATGACATGATAGTATACCTAGAAGACCCCATCGTCTCAGCCCAAGAACTCCTGAAACTGATAAGCAGCTTCAGCAAGGTCTCAGGATATAAAATCGATGTGCAAAAATCACAAGCATTCCTATAAACCAATAACAGACTTAAAGAGAGCCAAATCAAGAACAAACTGTCATTCACAATTGCTACAAAGAGAATAAAATACCTAGGAATACAACTTACAAGAAACGTACGGGACCTCTTCAAGGAGAACTACAAACCACTGCTCAACGAAATAAGAGAGGACACAAACAGATGGAGAAACACTCCATGTTTATGGTTAGAAAGAATCAATATCGTGAAAATGGCTATACTGCCCCAAGTAATTTACAGAATCAATGCTATACCCATCAAGCTACCACTGATTTTCTTCACTGAACTGGAAAAAACCACTATGAACTTCATATGGAACCAAAAGAGAACCCGCATAGCCAAGTCAATTCTAAGCAAAAAGAACACAGTGGGAGGCATCCCTCTTCCGGACTTCAAACTATACTACAAGGCTACAGTAATCAAAACAGCATGGTACCGGTACCAAAACAGAGATATAGACCAATGGAACAGAACAGAAGCAACAGAGGCAACACAACATATCTACAACCATACAATCTTTAATAAACCTGAAAAAAACAAGCAATGGGGAAACGATTCCCTGTTGAATAAATGGTGTTGGGAAAACTGGCTAGCCATGTGCAGAAAGCAGAAACTGGACCCCTTCCTGACACTTACACTAAAATTAACTCCAGATGAATTAAAGACTTAAACATAAGACCTGGCACCATAAAAACCCTAGAAGAAAATCTAGGCAAAACCATTCAGGACATAGGAGTAGGCAAGGACTTCATGAACAAAACACCAAAAGCATTGGCAACAAAAGCCAAAATAAACAAATGGAACCTAATCAAACTCCACAGCTTCTGCACGGCAAAAGAAACAGTCACTAGAGTGAATCGGCAACAAACAGAATGGGAAAAAATTTTTGCAGTTTACCCATCTGACAAAGGGCTGATATCCAGAATTTACAAAGAACTCAAACAGATTTACAGGAAAAAAACAAGCCCATTCAAAAATGGGAAAAGGATATGAACAGACACTTTACAAAAGAAGACATACATGAGGCCAACAAACAGATGAAAAAATGCTCATCATCACTGGTCATTAGAGAGATGCAAATTAAAAGCACACTGAGATACCATCTCACGCCAGTTAGAATGGCGATCATTAAAAAATCTGGAGACAACAGATGCTGGAGAGGATGTGGAGAAATAGGAATACTTTTACACTGCTGGTGGGAGTGTAAATTAGTTCAATTATTGTGGAAGACAGTGTGGCATTTCCTCAAGGTCTTAGAAATAGAAATTCCATTTGACCCAGCAATCCTGTTACTGGGTATATATCCAAAGGATTATAAATCTTTCTACTATAAGGACACATGTACACTAATGTTCATTGCAGCACTGTTTACAATAGCAAAGACCTGGAACCAACCCAAATGCCCATCGATGATAGACTGGACTGAAAAAATGTGGCACATATACACCATGGAATATTATGTAGCAATATAAAATGATGAGTTCATGTCCTTTGTAGGGACATGGATGAATCTGGAGAACATCATTGTCAGCAAACTGACACATGAACAGAAAATGAAATACCACATATTCTCACTCATAGGCAGGTGAGGAAAAATGAGAACACATGGACACAGGGAAGGCAGTACTACACACTGGGGTCTATTGGGGGGAGTAGGAGAGGAGCAGTGAAGGGGGAGATGAAGAGGGATAGCCTGGGGAGAAATGCCAAATGTGGGTAAAGGGGAGTAAGGCAGCAAAACACACTGCCATGTGTGTACCTATGCAACTATCTTGCACATTCTTCACATGTACCCCAAAACCTAAAATGCAATTAAAAAAAAATTAAGCAACTTTAGCAATGGTTATAAGCCACACACACACACAAACTAATCTTTTATAGAGAAGAAGGAATTACAAAGCATTAGATATTTCCATTTTTATATAGAAGATAATTTATAAAACAAATGAAAAAATGTATTGCCTAAGTTCTTCAAATACTTGAAAATATAGTCAATTTTATGTAAATATACATATTATCAATAAAATATGTTTGATATTTATAAAAAAAAAAGTTAATTCACCCTCTCATCGTCACCAAGAATTTAAGCTAGCTTACCTAATGAAGGTTATGAAGGATTAAAAGATGACAGAAAAATTTGAGACTTTTGCAAAAAAAAAAATGTGCAACTAGAAAAGATTATAATATAGCATATATGTCAGAAGTAAAATCATAGCTATATTATTTTAAATTAGATAGTATCTATAGTTAATAGAAATTTCTGTCTTATGGGGGTTTAATGTTTGTTTTAAACTTCCAGGACTCTTTTGGTCTACTTATTTCCTTCTAATTTTAATGAATTCTTATTAAAATTTATCTATTTCCAGCCTGGCCAACAAGGTGAAACCCTGACTCTCCTAAAAATACAAAAATTAGCCCGTGTGTTGGTGGACACTTGTAGTCCCAGTTACCTGAAAGACTGAGGCAGGAGAATGAGTTGAACCCAGGCAGAGGTGCAGTGAGCCGAGATCACGCCACTGCACTCAAGTCTGGGAAATGGAGTGAGACTCTGTCTCAAACAAACAAAAAGCATCTATTCCATCTATTTCTAGAATTTTTATTTTAGGCACTGTTTTAAATGGAGACAGGCATATTTAGAATAACCCCATGAAATCTGTCCCATAATGCTGATAATAAGTTAACACACATTATGGAAGCTGCCTTTCAATTAATGTTCTCTATTTTGCAAGTATACATTTTTAAAATGATTATTCTTAGTTTTCATAAAATAGTAAATTCCTTTTTGTTCCTTTCTCATTTATGGTTTTCATCTGTCTAAAGCAGAAAGTGTATTAAATAATAATAATGAAGTTATTATAAGCCTACCACTGACAAGATAAAAATGAAGCTAAATACATTTTGTGGAAAAATCTTACTTCTACCAAATCTTACACTTCTTAGACAGAATAAAAATAGTTTTTACATTAAAATGTCACAATTTTCCTCATATTTGGTACATGATTCCAGCTTAGTGAGTTACATCGCTAATGCCATGATATTGCTCTGTAATATGCAGCAAAAAAAAAAAAAAAAAAAAAAAAAAAAAAAAAAAAATTTAGGGCAGCAAAGTAAAATATAACCTTCTTGGTAGCAAATCTTTTCTAATTGTACAATAAAAACAATGATGAATCTCTTCTGTTTCCCATGGATTTCTTTTTTTAAACCTTAACAGGTTAACATGAGAATGCAAGCACTTTGAAGGTAGAGAAAACTACTGTGTACAGGCACTATACTGGGAATGGGGCAAAAGCGTGGTGGCTCGCGCCTGTAATCTCAGTACTTTGGTAGGGTGAGGCAGGCAGATCACCTGAGGTCAGGAGTTCAAGACCAGCATGGCCAACATGGTGAAACCCTGTCTTTAAAAAAAAAAAAGAAGAATGAAAAGTCTCAAGTACCTTGAGAAAAAAATATAATTAGTAGAATTAAAATCATGTCCTTTTTTCTAATTACTTGATCTATATTACAATGAGAAAGAACTTTTTGTCATGAAATGTGCACTTCATTTGTTTCAAGTTCTAGTTGAATTTATTATTTAACATCTTTCTGTTGTAACATTCAAATTACCTCTTCAATTCCCAAACACATTCACATATTCTTAAGGACTGTCAGTTCTGTGGGTGACTAATATTACAAGGTCTTTTAAAAATTATTATAATAGGTATTGATGCAAAGCAAAGGCATATGATTTAATTTTTTTCCTTTTAGTGTGGTCACTTTTTATTAACTACAAAAGGTTATTAACTACACAGGCTATAAAAAAAACAGGATAAACAAACAAAAAGTTATTAATATACCACCACTCAAAATTCAGAAAATATGTTGTTTTCATGTGCACATACATGAAATAAGTAATACCATACAGAAGGGTGCTATATCTGTGTTTAAAGAAGGGGTTGTTGGCAAACACCACAGCTCACTTCTGCTGAAATGTACACAACTGATATATGCAGCACAGAAAGCCGGCACCAAGGGCTTACAACCTTAATTTGCCTGCAAGAAGGAATGGAGATTTACCTTCAGAGCACGTTCTTGATTGTTTTCAGCAGTCAGATGTCTCATGTTGTTTGCTGAAGTCTGGTTCTGCTCTTTCAGATGATGAAGCTCCTGCTCTAGCCGTTTGCACTGCCACAGGGGAAGAATCCCATTAAGTAAAGGAGTTATAGCATTTTTTTTTTACCAAGCCAAATAAATTAATGTAAATAATACCGTATTCTCTAAAAGACAAGGGTTTTTTTTGCAATAAGAATGGTAAGTAAAAGTAACGTTAAGTACAATAAATAAAAAACATTGCTTATAAGTATTCTACAAATTCAATGACAATTTTCAGTGAGTTTGTTAATCTGAATATTATTATACAAATCGCAAAAATACTTTTATAAAATTAAGGTCAAACCATATTTAAAATTATTTTCTTCTTTGTCCAAATGGTTCTAATTATCTATCTGTTGTTTGAATAAAAGAATGCTTCTAAAAATCATATTGGATTCTAAGTAAACTACAATATGATACTGTATAATCACCTTTAATTAACATTTAAAAAATAAAAATTACAAGGTATACATTTAGAAATACTTCCAGTTTTTAGAAATATCTAAGGAAAGAATTTTATATGAAAAAGAGCAAGAACCAGTGTGCCAAGACTTGGAAACAGATAAAGAATTGAGTGCTTTTAATTTCTCTTATTTTGACCAAATTTTATTTTTAAGTTGAAGTGATAACATTCATATGAAATGTCCATTTTAACCTACTTGGAATACAAGTAAATAATATAAGAGAAAATAAGTAAAACAATTATAAGTAATAGTATCAATGAGACAACAGAGGCATCTATGTTCAAAAATCGTTTAAAATATCTTGCCCTTTGAATATAAGATTTCAATATAAATATGTAAAACATTTCACACAATAATTACACAGGCTATAAAATGGTAAGCTGAAAATCAGGACAATATGAAGATACATGGGGAATTACAAAAATAAAGTACTAAACCCATCATTGAGGAAAAAGTTCAAAACCATTCCTTAACTATTTTAAAATTAGAATATTTTAAAAACAACTAATAAAAACACATACTGATTTAAGATCTGGACAAAGTTCTTTCTAGATTATTTGCCAAATGGCTAGTTGTCATAATGGATGAATAAAAAATCATTACTTATGATACAATCACAATGCAGCTGTCATCCGAAATAACATTTCTTAATACTCTGATTTCTTCTGCCTCTGGTCTGAATAATATTATGCAGTATGTATCAATATTTCACAACTTTGAGTAATATACAAAATGTTTTAGAAGAAAAAGTCTTACCAGACTCCTGATATTGACTTAGATTGCCTGATGATACTTGTATACAAATATAATAATGAGTATACATATTTCACACATATATAATATTATAAAACCAAAACACACTACAAATAAATAAAATAACCATAAAATCAAGGCATTTCTAATTAATATTAACTTAATTTAGCAGAGAGTTTTGTTGAAACTAAATTCTGCAACTATAACACTGACTTAATGCAGATTTTTTTACATTGCCATGTCTAGTCCATCATGTGCTGTATGGCAACTTAATTCACCTACCATATTTTTTAAAATTTACAGAAAAATTTTGTGACACATATTATTTTGCATTTATTTTCAGGAGACACATGATCTATACATTAAATTATGTCTCTGTCTTTTTAAGCCAGTAACAAAATACTTGGAAGAATGCAATCAAATCACAGTGTATGTTACTGAAGACACAAATTATGACCTAAGAAAATGAATAAAGGTACAGCACTGTCACAAAACAGTAGAGTTATTCTCTACTAAAATTATCCTTTACATTTTCAATTACATTTATACAAAATTATTAAGATATGTATTAAAATATAATAAGCATGACCTATAAGAGTTTAAAGGTTAGGGAGATTATTTTGGCTATGGGAGAAAGAATAATTCATGGAACTGATAATATCTGAGTTGGGCTTGTTTGGGGCATAGGATTTTGTAAGTGACGCTGGAGAAAGAAGAATAATACAGGAGAAAAGAAATGAAGGTAGAAACTTGAGGAGTTAATCTGAAGAAAATGAGGAAGCATGGTCAAGAGTTGTGTGACCACCTATTCTTTTCATTCCAAATAAATTAGAAATCACCCAGAAATAGGGATTTATCCCAGGTACATCATGCAAACATGAAAAAAAACAAGAAATACTAAATGTTCTTGTAAAATAAATATTTGTAGCATATTTATTACATTGTTTATTTAAATTTATGTAATCATATATTATTTCTTCATTTGACATGATCCTTGACAACCCTAACATAATCCCCATGAAAACATATTCATGTATAATTTCCACTGGTTTGTTTCTTTTTTACTTTTATTGAATTCTGTGATTTTGATATTTATTTTGAAGCAATGGGATTGAACAGTTTATTCATTAGGAGATGGCATACTATATTAATTACTGTCACTTTATAATTTCATAAAATATTTATAAAGCAGATAAAGATCATATCCTTTAATCACATCTCAAATTTTTGGTGATATTCTCACCAAATTAATTTTTCAATATGCTTTTAGTTGTTAAATTTGTCATTTAAATAAGACAGAAAGGGCAAGAATAGCTATACTTATATCAGACAAAATAAATTTCAACATAAAAACTTTAAGGAGAGACAAAGAAGGTCATTATATAATGATAAAGTGGTCAGTTCAGCAAGAAGATATAGCAATTTTAAATATAAATGCACTCAACACTGAAATGTATATTTATACATACATACATAGCAAGTATTTTTAGAGCTAAAGAAAGATATAGACTCCAATACAATAATAGCTGGAAATGCCAACACTTCATTTTCAGGAATGAACATATTTTCCATAAAAAAGTCAACTAAGAAACTTCAGACTTAACCTGAACTATAGACCAAATTGATATTTACAGAACATTTCATCCAATGGCTGCAAAATACAAATTCTTTTTCTCAGCACATAAATCATTCTCATGGGTAGACCAAATCTTAGGTCACATCAAGTCTTAAAACATTTTTAAAAACCTGAAATCATATCAAACATCTTCTCTGACCACAATAGAATAAAATGAGAAATTAATAACAGGAGAAATTTTGGAAACTAAAAAATGCATTGAAATTAAACAGTAGGAATTTTGGAAACTATAAAAAAACATAGAAATAAAACAATATGCTCCTGAATTACCAGTGGGTCAGTGAAGAAATTAAAAAGGAAATTAAAGAACTTCTCAAAACAAATAAAAATGGAAACACAACATCACTACAGGATACAGCAAAAGCAGCACTAAAAGGGAAGTTTATAGTGAAAGTGTCTACATCAAAATAGAAGAAAAACCATTAATAAACAAGTTAACAATGCATCTTTAAAAAATCAGAAAAAAAGCAAACCAAACCCAAAATTAGTAGAAGAAACAAAAACATCAGAGCAGAAATGAATAAATTTGAAGTGAAGAAACAATACAAGAGATCATTATAACAAAAGCCAGAGTAAGAAAAAAAAAAGAGAAGATCTAGTAAAATCAGATGAAAAGATATACTACGACCAATATGGCAGACATTCAAAGAATTATTAGAGGCTACTATGAGCAACTATGTGCCAATACATTGGAAAATCTAGAAGAAACGGAGACATTCCTAGACATAAACAACCTGCCAAGATTGAACAAGAAAGAAATCCAAAACCTGAACAGACGAATAGCAAGCAATGAGACTGAAGCCATAATAAAATGTATCTCAGCAAGGAAAAGCCTGGGACCTGTCATGGCTTCACTGCTGAATTCTAACAAATATTCAAAGAAGATCTAATACCAATCTTACTCAAACTATTCTGAAAAACAAAAGAGGGAAGAAAACTTCTAAGCACATTCTCTGAGGTCAGTATTATCGTAATACCAAAACCAAAGATACATCAAAAAAAAAATTGTAGGCCAATAAATCTGATGAATATTGATGTAAAAATCCTCAACAAAATACTAGAAAATGAGATAAACAATCTATTAAAAAGATCATTCCAAGCCTGTAATCCCAGCACTTTGGGAGGCCCAGGCGGGTGGATCACGAGGTCAAGAGATCGAGACCATCCTGGTCATCACAGTGAAACCCCGTTTCCACTAAAAATACAAAAAATTAGTTGGGCATGGTGGCGCGTGCCTGTAATCCCAGCTACTCAGGAGGTTGAGGCAGAAGAATTGCCTGAACCCAAAAGGCAAAGGTTGTGGTGAGTGGAGATCGCGCCATTGCACTCCAGCCTGGGCAACAAGAGCGAAACTCTGTCTCAAAAAAAAAAAAAAAAAAAAAAAAAAAAAAGATCATTCATCATGACTAAGTGGGATTTATCCATGGGATGGAAAGATGATACAACATACATAAATCAATAAATGTGATATATCATGTCAACAGAGGAAACAAAAACCATATGATTATTTCAACTGATGCTGAAAATATATTTGATAAAATTTAACAATGCTTCATGATAAAAATATTCAAAAAACTGGGTATAGTAGGAATGTACATCAACATAATAAAAGCCATATATGACAGACCCACAGCAAGCATCATACTGAATGGAAAAGGGCTGAAAGCTTTTCCTCTAAGATCTGTAACACAACAAGCATGCCCACTGTCACCACTGCTATTCAGTATAGTAATCAAAGTGCAGGCAAGAACGATCTGACAAGAGAAAGAAATAAAGGGCATCCAAACTGGAATGGAATAAGTAAAATCATCCCTGTTTGTAGATGATATGATCATAAATTTGGAAAAACCTAAAGACTACACACACATACACACACACACACACAAACACAAACATAAACTATTACAATTGATAAACAAATCTGGTATGGTTGAAGGATACAAAATCAACATACAAAAATCAGTAGCATTTTTAGACATTTTAGAAAGTACTCCCATTTACCATAGCCACAGATAAAGTTAAATACCAAAAGACTAATTTAACCAAAGAAATGCAAGATCTCTATAATGAAAACTATAAAACATTGATGAAAGAAATTGAAGAGGACATCAAAAAACGAAAAGATAGTCCATGGTCATGGATTGGAAGAATTGATATTGTTAAAATTCCCATACTACCCG